GGGGGGGGGGGGGGGGGGTCATGGGCCATTTATTTGGATTTCTGAGAGACGTGTAACGCAGAAAAGTCTGACGGGCTACTCCGGGCGCATGATCGAAACTCGAGGTTCAAACGACGCCTTCCAGCAGATAACTCGTTCAAGAAAGTTGCGGCGTTGCACGGCATGTTTGGGACATACTCTTGTGTGCCACCTGATGTTGGCGGGGGGGGCGGGAGGGGGGCAGGTTACTTGCGTGGGGCGTGCTTTTGAGAACGTTGAATACTGAGCTCCATGCGAGAGAGGTAACCACGTGTGGTTGAGCGCCTTTTTTTCGGGACACTTTCATACAAACACCTATGGTAGACGTTGTTGCGTCCGCCGTGAACACTAATAAACCCAAACGCAGGTCAACGACGTCTTCCCGCGGCTAAAATCTCTTGCGCTCATGGGGAACCCGGTGTGGCCGGCGGCGGCGAAGTTGACGTCCTCTATGGCGGCAGGCGCGGCGTCGACGGCAGCCGAAGNGGGGCGGGGGTGGGCGAGGAAGGAAGGTGGACCCCGAAAGGACGGGAGAGGGGGGCAAGGAGGAGGAGGAGGAGCGTTACCGGCTTCATGTCGTGCGACGGCTGCCGGGGCTGGTGACGCTGGACTGCGCGGACGTTACGGAGGAGGAGCGGAATCGGGCTAAGGAGGTAGGTTGTAGGCAGTGGCATTTGCGAGGATTGTGAGCTTGGTTTTAGTAAGGGGTACGGGGCTGGGTTGGGGTTATTGTGACGAACACCCCCTCTCTATTTCATGGATTACAACAACTACCCTCCCGAAAGCCGTCCGTCCGCTATAGGCGGGTGATAGGGGTGGTGGGTCGCGAGAGTGGGTGGATGGGTTGGACCGCCTTGGCGAGGATTTGTTGGTAATGTTGAAGGAGGCAGCGGGACTTCATATCCCTATCCCAAACCCTATCCCCACCTACTAAAACCAAGCTTAATTCCTCGCGAAGACCACTTAGCTCTTTGGTAGACACCACCCCCCATATGCGCAAGCGTGTGGTCACACACGGGGTCCCCGAAGACTCGTTGGGCGTTTTTTACAGCACCCCCACCGCGGCAGCAGCATGGCGGGCAGCTTCATCTCTTCCTACATACATACTTGAAGGGTCTGTTGATTGGTACGTGGGTTAAAGCTGGTGCTGCTTGAACAGAATGATATATGTGGTTTGGCGCTGCCTTCCCAATCCTATCCGTACACAAGAAGGAAGATGAGCGACATCAAACGCACAAGCAACGACCAACAAGCACAAGCGCAAATTGCCACACTCAGGAAGAAGGTAACAAGAGCAACAAAAAGTCCTTTCTTGGTCGAGGACGGTGACGACGCTCCCATCCGTTGTCCCACCCCCCCCCTCAGTAGGAAGGAACGATTGGCCATCGGTGATCGGTCCTGTGGGAACATTGCTCCGTCCTCTCAAGGACGCGTGGTCTATGGTCTAACCGCTAAGGCATGCAATACTTGAGAGTACGCCCCCCCCCCCCCCCCCCCGACCTCTTGCTTCGAGGCACGAACACGCTCTCTTAGCGAGAGACGCTTCCTGCTTTTCACACTCATTTGTTTTTCCAATACGAAACGAAACTCTGATGAATGAAAAATACAGATGACCGAAGCGAGCGAGCTGATGGACGTGAGCGACCTGCTGCTGGAGGTGGAGCCTACAACGGACGTGGAGGAAAGCCTTCCAAGGTGCGCCAACGGAATTATCACCATGCTTGGTACTTTGAAAGCGTTTGGTCTACCCAGTAGTCGTTGTCTTCAGGCGACAGTCGTTCAGGGTTGCCGGCCTTGACTCTCCTTTAGAGCTGTGTGCCCAAGACAGTGATCGAGAGGAGAGAGGAAGTGAGAGAGTGGGGGGCGAGCCGTCCATCCTCATCTCGGGAAGACTGCACGCAGGGGCTACTGCTGTACTCTGCCGATTAAGGTGCTAGACGGGTGTCGCGACCTCCACAAGAATGCTCGAGTATCCCACGGGACAAAAGACCAATGCACCATGGTTCTGGTTTCCGGAGACTTATACGATCGCCCGGTCAAGCAGACATTCAACCGAGGACTCCTATGGTACCAATCCATGGGTGCCTTTGAACTGATGTACTTGCAGTCCTCGTTGTCTTTTTCTTCTTCGCGATTGTAGGAGGGTTACTAACCACCGCAACCAACGTGGCCAACATTCCCGCCACTGTCATCGCCTGGTTCGTTGTTTCCTTGGAAATCAGAACAGAAAATCATGGAAACCAGAATAGAAAATTATCCAACTCTCCCGTTGTTGTATGTAGGCCAGTTCTCACCCTCTGTTCTTACGCAGGATACTGTTTTTTTTTTGTTCATTTTTCGCTTCTTTTTTTTTTCTTGCAGAGACACGCCTCCAGGGAGCATGGATTCGGTGTCACATGGAGTGAGGTATGTGTTTTGTGTTTTTTGTTGTGTTTTTTACTCTTTTTAAGGCTGACTATTAGGTTTTGTTGCTTATTCGAGGTTGCTGGTTGTGACGTTCTTCGTTGTTGACGTCGTGATCATTGCTATGTTCCCCGTCCGTTGGGGTTTATTTTCTGTTTGATACTCGGCTCTTCTGTCCGTTCCCCTTCCTCGCCCAACGTCTTTTCACACAAGCAGGCATGCGCGCGTTAATTGCCGCCGTTTTATTTATAGATGGTTTCCTACCATTCCCTACGCCATGGCCCACCTCTTCGACCCCTTTACTCTGCTGCTATCCTTCTTTGCAGCAAATTGTTAGAGGAGGACAGGGATCGTCGAGCGAACTTGCCTGACCGGGGCAGCTTACCCTCCACTTGGCACAAAGAGGTGAGGGCCTGTATTAGTTTGTTTTTGTCACCTAAATTGAATACCTAAATTGGATGAACCAATTTGCGTTTTTGGCCAAAAAGGGCTTGAGTCGTTGAATGCAATTTTGCCACATCGAAGTCAGCAACATCCAAATGCGGCGGAATCGCTGCCGCGAGGTGACGTGGTGACCCAACCAAGTCGAGCCATAGACCATGTGCACCACAAGGGGGGGGCGGGTACTCTTATGTTTTGCATGCCTTAGCGGTTAGGCCATTGACCACGCGTCTTAGAGAGGACGGAGCATTGTTCACACAGGACCGATCACCGTTGGCCAATCGTTCCTTTCTACTTTGCCAAAGGTGGCTCAAAAATGTCTTCCCTAATTTGTCTATCCTAAGGATATATCCCTTCCCGCCTTTTCAACCCATCTCCTATGCCCCACTACAGCTACCGTCCTTTCCTCTCTATTTTATGCCTCAAACATCTCCCTGTACGTCCCATCTATTTTTCCCAGCTCAGTCACGTACACTTCCCTCTC